GAGAGAGAGAGAGAGAGAGAATCCCATTCAGGCTCTGAGCCGTCAGCTGAGCCAGACTCGGGGCTCAAACTCACCAACCGTGAGGTCACGACCTTAGCGGAAACCAAGAGGTGGACGCTTAACCGACTGGGCCCCCCAGGCGCCCCGAGAGCTTCGGCCTCCTAACTGGCTTCTCCTTCTCTCCTCAGGAGACCAGAGAAGCTTGGGGGGCTGCAGGGGCAGAAGATCCCTCCTTAAGCACCTTTGATGTATCCTTGACATCCATCTACAACCTCACAGATGATGTGGGCTACCAAGGGAGCCAGGAGCTGACCAGCGTGAGTACCCCACCCCGGGCCCCCTCCCCTGGGGTCCCGCACCCCTTACCCCGCTACCACACGGGCAATTTACCTCACTGACCTCCTCTAGGAGGTCTTGCGGCAACCTCCCATATCTTCTCGACACCCTTCCAATTCACATCTTTACTAAACACGGCTCAGATTTACTCCTTCCAGAACAAAACACCAACACTGAGAGTAACTGCAGCTTCTACTTACTGAGAACTTACCACTGCCTCCCTATCAGGTAGATATTATTATTATCATCCCTATTTTTCAGACGAGGAAACTGAGGCAAAGTCAAGTTAAGTGACCCTCCCAAGATCGGATAAGCAGGAGGCAGAGACGCTAGCGTCTGAGCTGTGTGTCTGAGCCGAGGTATCACACAGAACCGCCTCCCCCGCTGGCGGCCAACATTTACGTGGCGCGCAACGCACTCGGTATAGGAACTTAGCTCTTGGTTTATTTGAGAGAGGCTTTAAATGCCAGCTCTGTTTCTGTTAGCAGTCACTGACACAATACATCGCTCATATTTAAATGCTAATTTTTAAGAGAGAGAGTGGGGAGAGGGGCAGAGACGGAGAGAATCCCAAGCAGTTTGTCAGCGCAGAGCCCACGTGGGGCTTGATCTCACTAACCCTGAGACCATGACCTGAGCCGCAATCAAGAGTGGGACACTTCACCGACCGAACCACCCAGGCGCCCCAAGCTGCTCACATTGAAAGTGCACCGTTTGGTGTGCGGACGTGTACGTACTCATGAAACCATAGCCACAATCAAGATAATAGACGTATCCGTCCCCCCCGCCCCAAGTGTGAGCAGCCAGGGGGTCCAGAGCAGAGTCCTTAGACGGCTGGTATCTGCCTTCCATAGTGGGTCTGTATGTAACGAAGGCACCTGCCCTGGGACCCTTGGAAAGAGGCCAGCTGTCCACCGCGCGCTGGGATAAGCCTGCGGTGAGGCCCGGGAGCGTCCACCGGGGGGCAGGCTTCCGCCGACGCCCGCGGCCCAGGCTCGCCTCTGACCTCAGGGCTTCTCTGCCTCCCTTCCCCCCTCAGACACGAAGCCCCGTGTGTAACGGGACGGGTCAGTGGAGAGCGCGCTTCATCCCCTGCTCTCGGATTCCCCAAGGAGGAAGACCCCGGCCTCGCTCGGTCCAAGAGGCGGAAGCGCAGCAAGGTCGCCACCGTCCGGCCGAGGAGGGACAAGGCGAAGGACGAGGACGCGGACGAGGAGGACGAGGACGCCGAGAACGAGGGGCCGCCCCGGGCCGCGCGGTCCCCGAGGGTGCGGCGGAAGCGCCACCCGTCCTCGCGGACGCGCCCGCTGCGGCAGGAGCACCCGGGCAGCTCGGAAAGCAGCCCGAGCACGCTCACGTCCAAGACCAAGTCGTCCCGCTGGAGCCTGGCCGGCTTCCGCCGGTACCTGTGCAGCTGCTGCGACCGGCGGCGGCGGTAGGGGGCGGGCGCCGAGGCCGAGGCGGCGGGGGAGGCCGGGGGCGCGGGCGAGCCCCC